AAATTAAAAATAATTTTTTATTATTATTGTTATTCTTCTTATAAATTAATTATTTTTCATCTATAGAGAAAAGCAAAAAGGGAATGAAAACGAGGACGATGAAAATAAAAAAGACGACGAAAATGGGAATGACGAGAATCGAATTAATGCTGACGACGAAGATGATTAACCTAATCTGAATTCTTCAGTTTGAATTAAAATTTTTTTAATTTATAATCTTATAATTATTAATATTATTCAACTCGTTATTGATAACATTATGTCTGTATTTAAATTAATAAAAACGAACAATAAAATTATTTATTCAATACTGCAAAAATTCTTATAATATGCGACAGCTGTCGCATTAAATTAAATTAAAATTAAAATATCAATTGATGTTTCAGCATACTAGTATCCTGAAACATCCTAAAACTTTAAAAACAAGGATATTGCAATGTTACTCTAAAATATTTTTGAAACTTTCAAAATAAGAATGTTGCAATGTTGCTAGAATGAACCAATGTTCTTGAAATATTGTTCTAAAATATTCCTACAATATTGCTGACTTAAAATTTCAAAAATGAGCTACTAATTTTTCGATGGCGAGATTTTTATATGTCATATGAATAATTTTATAGTATTTTCGAATCAAAATAATATCCTAAAGTTGTTTTGCAAAATTTTAATTTTTTTAAGAGTTATTGTTTAAACAATTTTTAAGCATCCAATTAGTAAAAAAAGCTTTTCTACGGTTCTACTTGATGAATCTTTCTAAAATTTGGTATGAGTAATATACAATAATCATGCTTTCAAACAAAAAAAATTGGTTTGATTTTGTCCATAATTTGTTTAAAATAGCAACAATGATAATAAACAAATAAAAATAAAATAATCTTCTGCGACTAATTTCGTATTTTTTCTTGTCAATTATGATTCCCTATTTTATAACGAGTATTTGAAAAAAAAAGAAAAGTCAGTACATTGCATTAGGTCAAAAGTTATTAATATATTTGTGATCGCGCACCGACAACTACGTGCTACGCCGCCGCAGTAGGACGAAAAACACGGCCATGGACAAATTAACATACAGCCTACAAAGGGTATAGCTGGATAAGTATAGATGAATTGCCCCAGCTCGTATTTTATTCATATTATTACTATATGTTCTCACCCACATGAATATAACTTTCTGAAATTTTCAACTCGAAAACTACTGGATGGATTTTAATGAGCTTTGGATATGTTACAGAGACAAGTAAAGCGATTATAAAAAAAATTGTCAACATTTTTTTTCAAAATAACTCAAAAATTTTTGATTTTGAAATTAAAAAATTTTTTTGGGGTTCCATTCAATTGGTATACCAAGATTTGTTTCCCCATTTTACTCTACCAAGTGTCCCACTTAATAAAAAAATTATGCCTGACTTGATTTGAAGGTGTGTCATCGTGTAAAACTCAAAAAACCTTTCCTGGTACATGTTTATGTAGTATATGACTGTCAAACTTTTAGAAATCGATCTATTTTTCAAAAATCTATTATGTAGAGAGCCAAAATAATTTTTTATAAATCATTTTTTCAATTGCGGGTAGGTCCTAGTAATTCAGCACCCTCTATATCGAAATTAAAATTACGGATAATTTTTTACAGTCTTTACTTGAAAACAAGACAATAAAATGCTTCGTCATTTTCCAAATAGCACAGAATATTCCATTCACATTCCAGAAATATTCTATTGGAACATTCGGAATATTCCTGGAATGTGAATGGAACGTGATAATGCCTTACCTCAGGAATATTCCAAGAATATTCCTTTAGAACATTGAAAATTTATTTTGAACATGGCATGAATATTCCTATGGAATATTCCTTTGGAACATTAAAAATTTTTTCAGAACATGGCATGAATATTCCTATGGAATATTCCAGAAATACTCCTGTAGAATATACCAAACACATACTTCTATAATCAACCAGGAATATTTTCTCAAACGCTACCTAGAATCTTCCTATGATTTTACACTAGGAACGCTTATTCTTTATATTGACAGTATTTTTTATTAATAATGACTTAAGAAGTCATGAGATTATTCGAAAAACTTTTAAATATTTAAAAAACTGTTGATGTAAAATTGTAACTAAAAATGTAAATTATTACGATTTATTTTTATGTAAGTATATCGGCCAGAATATAGATGTAAATTGAAACAAGAAAAATAGTACGTGAATACAAAATAAAATATTAAAAACATGTTTTCTAATTTAAATAAAGTATATGCGAGTTATAAATTTATTACATGAGAAAGCATTATTAAAAATATACATCGTGATAAGTAACCAAGAAAAATTTTTTTATATTAACGATTTAAATAAAATAAATAAAAATAACAGTCGTATTTACGTACAATATGTAAAGTATTAACAATTTTTTGTCGTTTTTTTTACTCTGAAGTGGAATAAAAATGCCAGTTGCTTCACTGGCATCATAAATAACTCATCTGAATCGCTGTATTTCAGGAAAAATATTTATAAACTTATTGTTTAATTACTTACCATTGAACGAACAATTTTATTTTATCACTATTTAAACCTCGTTTTCTGTGTGAAGAATTGGAAATATGACTGAAGACCTGTTTTTCCTTGTAATCTGCCACAACTTTGCTTTTACCTCTTCTAAGCGCCAAGTTGACAAATTACTGCTTTCTTTCGATACTAATTGAATGTTCAGGGCACTTGAATTTAAAGGTTCATGTTATAAATCTCCTTCTGATGTAAGCTCATTCCCAATAAAAAAGACGTCTCCATTATTACATTCTACGATATTGAGAATGCAAGTGATAGATACATTTTCTAATAATACATAATTATTATTTGAAGTGTTGCAGTCAATACTGAAAGTCTTTAGTTGTATTTTTTTGTACTGTCTTTTAATATTTTTGATGTCATTACTCAATGGTCCTCTGGCATGACCATTTTTCAGGGGATTTTCTGAATTCGGTATTACAAATTTCATGCTCTCCTTACCTTCCATTTCAGCATATCCTCGAGCTAGTTGTTGTAAAGGTTTGTCCTTCCTTCGCAATTTTCTCTTTATTACGCCCATGTAATTTTCAAACCTGAATGCGCTGAAAGAGTCTAAGGTTCCATATCTCTTTACATCTTCACAGGTATGTAAAGCATTGTGGAAATTGTGTGACATAAATACTTCTCCATAAATATGTTCAAAACTTGATACAAAGTATTTCAAAAGTTCATGATCATAATCAATATTTTCTGTTATTTCAATGTGAACTGGACTACACAAAATAGTAATAGCTGTGTGTAAAGCTAAAAAATTATTGTACATGTCTTCAGGCAAAATGTCTTGCAGTACAACTGGTCCGGTATAAAGTAAAAAACTTCTGAATTCGGTAGCTTTCCATTGTTTAAAAGTTCGTATTGATCTTGGTCGTCTATTAAAATCCGATGGTTTTGTGTTTCGTAAGTATTGAAGTTTCTTATCAATGCGATTTATTTTTTCCTCACTTAGCCTATTATCTGGAGGCCCGAAAAACCAGAGCCAAATTAACTTTTTAACTTAACCCAATATCACTAAATGCATGTAATCACTCCTTTATAATAGAAGCCATTCTCACAATAGTCAGACATTTCATCGGCAAATTCTTGCAAGTACTCGTTAGAATCTTGAGGATGCTTTAAACCGTGATATGCACCTACTAAATAAACGTTTTTTATTTTAAAATCTGAACACATAATTGGCCATAACGCTGCAGTAGATGATTTAGATATTGGTAAGCCATCGATATTAATTATTAAGTCAACTGAATCTTGATTACCCTTGCGATTTTTTAATATTGATTCAATAGCCCGCTTCAAACCAAAATGATGGTACCCTCCACCATCAGACATTTCTCTTATATGTGTATATTGCGGTGTTTGTAGTAAAGTTCTTGCGTCACGTGGTAAAACGAAATATGTGAATTGTCTAATTATGAGAAGTAATGCAGTTAAAATCACAAGAATTATGTTAAAGTATAGTGCTCAAGCTGTTAATACTTTTTTAAACTTCGATTCTTTCTTCTTAGCAGAAGATTCTTCATCTTCAGATTCTTCGGATGATGAAGAAGAATCACTTATTTCTTCATCACTGTCAAAATCAATTTGTTCAAAATTTTCCTCTTCAAAATCGAATTCTGATTCGCTGTCTGTTTCATATTCACTGTTTGTTCCAAATTCATTTTCATTTATTTCATCAAATTTCAATTCATTATCTTCATTACTTTCGGAATATTTATTATCTTCATTACCTTCACTTTCACAATCTGAAGACATTTTGATTATTATGTCATTGAATAATTCTTTTCTTAAAGCTTTTAAATCATCCTCGTTCGCATTATTTTCTTCGTAACAATTTTCACTACCGCTCAAATCATTTCTTAGGTGGGTAGTTATCAGAAAATTTAAATCAATATTTGTTTGGTTTTCACTTAAACGAAGAATATGCCTCTTTGTATAAAGAGATGATTTTTCTTTCGGCATGATTTTTCAAAATTTTAAACTGAACTTCTTTTTTTCTGAAAAAAGTATCCCATATTAGTATAAAAGTTAAAAAGTTTAAACAATAACTCTCAAAAAAATTAAAATTTTTCAAAATTGATGCATTTTTAAGGAAGTTATGAGCATTAAAAACTTAAAAGTCATGAAAATTCCCCCATTTTCAAAAAACAATTTAATAAATAAATGTATATAATAATCTTTAATATTCATTTTATAATCATTTTTTAATTGATCTAATTACATTAGTATGTGTTATTTAATTTTTCATATATTTCAAATAACAATAGTGAAATTAAAATAATATACAAGTAATATTACACAAAGAACAATAGTTTATTTAAGAAGAGATGTCCAGGAATTACTTTTCGTGACCTTGTAAATTTTAATTATAAATCACTAAGCATATTTTCTACTCAAATGCTTAATTTAATTAGTCATTTTGTTTAATTTCTTATTCAAATAGAAAAGGAGCATCAAAAGCAACTTGAGCGCGAAAGAAAAGAACAACGAAAGGCAGAACGAGGAGTACAAAGATCTGATAAAGAGAAACATAATGTAACCAAACCGGATGTTGTTAAAGAAGATGTACTAGGACAAGTTAATGAGGAATTGTCTCAAGTAGCTGCAGTGCACAGTGAGGGTGTTGTTCGTGCATCTCATAACATGCTACATGACATTTCTCATTCAGAATCAGTACGTATAATTATTTTTATTTTAAAACACAAAGTTTATCACATTAATAAATTCACATCAAATCAAAAACGATTTATTTTATATTAAAAATTTTTTCTTATGCATATAGTCCCTTAATTTTAAGATTAGAAATTGTAGAGGCCACCTAATTGCAAGATTATTTAATAAGTGTCGGTTTTACGGGTCGACGATTATCATTAATAATATATTCAGCAACAAGGGTACAAAGGCAGCCATTGTTTACGTTGACGTTTGCAGCCCGAGACGTGAACGAGTACTAGCAAACGTCAACGTAAACAATTGGCTGCCTTTGGACCCATGTTACTTACGATACTTTTTATTCCAAAGGCACAAACGTCACGCTTTTAGGTTATCTGACGGCCGGGTGAAAAAGCCATTAATTTGTTCTACCGTTTAAAAATGGCGTCCATTTTTACCCTAGGGCAAAAATAACATATGGGCCAGCTGTTCATTTTTTTTACCCGCTCCCCATGGTGCATCGGTAGTGAGGAGGCTTGCCAAATCAGCGCCGTTTCACCATGCTGGTAGTGGTTTCGCGGGAAAGTCATCGGGAGTATAGTCCTTAAGGACCCAGGAATCCCAGTCGGCCTAGCCGACTCTAGCGCAATTCTGTTCATTTTTACCCTAGGGTAAACATGGACGCCATTTTCAGACGAGAGAACAAATGATTGGTTTTACACCCGGACGACAGGTATCTTAAGGGGTTAAACCACTCTAGAATTTTCAAAAAATCAAAAAAATTTTTTTTGCTTTAAAAGGTGCCTAAGGGTGTATAGAATAAGAAACAATATCAATTATAAGTCGAAACACTTTTTAATTTGGAAGGTCAATTATACGGCGCAGGCATTGCAGATTGAAGGTATATCCAAAAAGTCGTAAGTAAAACTTTAAACTCGTTTTTCTCAAAACTACATTTTTTGTGCTGGCCGGAAACATAACTTTTACAAATCTCAACCGATTTACTTAAAAATTAAACTGTAGCTTCTTAATAACATTATCTAGAGAAAGACGTACGGATTTTTTTTTACGTTGCATATTTTTTTTGTTATAAACAATTTAGTGTCAATTTTTTAAGTAAAAAACTCGGTTTTTCCTTAAAATGTTCGCCATTTTTGCAAAAATCAATTGAAAAAAAATCCCCTACGTCTTTCTCTAGCTTTTAAGATGTAAAAATAGAAAGAAATTTGTTTTTTGTTCTAGGATGAAAATTGGAGCTAAAACCTTTCCGGCCGCGACGTGATTCCTCTCAGAAAGGGTTCCTATCACGTACCTGTAAATTTGATATTTAAAAAAAAATAATTAATGAAGTATATTTTTTTTCTCTTTAAAGTGTACCTAATAAAGATATGTAAACATATTTTTCAGTACATTTAAACTTTTCTTGAAAAAAATTTCTAAAGTTAGGCCTTTTTTTGACGCTCTAGAGTGGTTTAACCCCTTAAAGCGACATGTTTGTGCCTGAGGGATAAAATATATTATAACATGTCATTTATCAAAAACAAATTATAATTAAATAACACATTGAAAGATCGGGAAATCCTCAACTTTTGACAGATTATAAAGGCGAACTATTTATAGTTGAGAGCGCCTGGCCTAATTAAAGAAAATATTAATATTCAAAATTAGCCATATTTAGTAAAAGAAATAAATATATCTTTTGTTAATAAGCCAGGGAATGGGTTCATGGAAATTAACCTATTTTAATTTTAGAATGAATAGAAATAAGTTCTTTAAAAATTTATACCATTTATTATAATAAAATTCACAGAAAAAACATAGTAAACATAAAAACTCTTATATATACAAATTTGCATTACACTTATGACTATTACACTGTTGACATTTTGCTCGTTTTTCGCTTATAAAATGAAACCGGTTATACTTATATCGACGGGGTTGGTCTCATTCGAAAGAGAAACCAAAAATACATTAAATTTCATACCGATATAAAATTCAAAATATTTACTTTTTATTTTCAAGGCGTTACACTGTTGACAGAAATTCAATTACGAAAGTGTTTCGGCTTTTTCTGCCTCCATGACAAACGAGCAGATTTATACTTATATCGTTTTCTTAACACACTTTGTTGTTGTGTTCTGCTGCTTATGCGATGGTAAAGAAAATTTTTTGCTCATATGGTAATTTAAATAGCAGGTCCCACTTATTTCTATATTAAATGTAAATAATTTCATACTATAAAAGTTGCTAAAATGTTCTAGGATATTAATTAATTATTCAAAAAACCATTGTAACTCAACCATTTTTAAGTAAAAATTTAGCTTTTATGCATTATTAAAAACAATTAAGTTGCTTTGATCAAAAATTTCATTTTTCCTTCTTATTTCTATATTAATTGTAAACATTTTTATACCACAAAAGTTACAAAAAAGTTCTAGGATATTAATTAATTATTCAAAAAACAATAGCGGCGAATCGATTTTAGAATAAAAATTCAACTATTATGCATTGTTAATAACAATTAAAATGGTTTGATCAAAAATTTAATTTTTCTTACTTATTTCTATATTAATTGTGAATAATTTTATACTATAAAAGTTGAAGAAAAGTTCTAGGATATTAGTTAATTATTTAAAAAACCATTGTAACTCAACTATTTTTGAGTAAAAATTAAACCTTTATGCATTATTAATAACAATTAAATTGCTGTGATCAAAAATTTTATTTTTCCAACTTATTTCTATGTTAAATAGGAATAAATTTATGCAAAAAAAGTTGAAAATAAGTTGTAGGATATTAATTAATTTTACAATAAAACCATATTAGCGGAATGATTTTTGAATAAAAATTAAACTTTTATCCATTGTTAATAAAGATTAAAATGTTTTGATCAAAAATTTTATTTTTCCTACTTATTTCTATATTTAATGTAAACAATTTTATGCCATAAACTATGAATAATTAATTAATATCCTAGAATTTTTTGCAAATTTTACTGTATAATATTATTTATATTCAATATATAAATAAGAAGGAAAAAAATTGTTCATCAAAACAACTTAATTGTTATGAACTATTTAAATGATAAATGTTATAATTTATATTATGCGCTTTTTTTTAAGTAAAAGTTAGTTGTAGTAATTTTGGTAGCGGCATAGACCAAATATTAAAATACTAATTTGACTCTGTTAGAAGTGCGAAGGAGATCAAATAAATATGGCAGATTTATTACAATATACTTTATTTAGGTCCACAATATAATTGGCATGGAGGTCGCGATGACACCTCCTTATACGTCACACACAACCCGTATCCACAGCTCAACGGTACAGTCGTTTTCTTGCGAGTCAGACTTCTAACTCCGTAAGAGCGGAGAGGAGAGAGAGGAGAGAACCTAAAGGTGCATCCCCACACACTCCACCCCGAATGTCAACCAATTAACTATTATTTATTTTTATTATTTTTCTTTGGTAAAATTTTTTCATTCATTCTTACAAACAATTTATAAACATTCTTCCATACATGCGAACCTCCATGAACTACATGTAATTCGTTGTTATATTTAATTAATTTTACTTATTTACAATGTGAGTCTGTTTTTTTATTTAAAATAAAATTTTATTGTGGATAACATGTTGTATAATAAATAAATTCAATGTACATCAAAAATTGATATTAAAAAGAATATTACATTTATATATTTATTATAGCGCGCTTTATATTTTTATTTATTTACAATGCATTTATTTTCCGTCAACGGTTAATATTTCCATTAGTGAGAAAACTTGGCATTTGTGGTATTTAGTGCTACAGCTAAAAAATCTTAAATTTCATTATTCAACTAATTGATTTATTTTATTTTCATTAATTTTGTACAATTTTAATTTCATTTTTTTTCAAATCGTTGCTTTAATATTAAAATCCCGAGGTGATCAGTCTCGCAATTCAATGAGCAAATCAATTCTGTAAGGAACTGTCTTTGCATCTGATGCAACCATCTATATAAAAAGTGACCTTCTTCGATACCTTGCGCAGAATCGACTCTGACATTTTACGGGTAAATCTAAATTATGTACATTCACGTCTAAAGACGGTGGTTTATCAAGATTTTCTTTATTTTCCAGACTTTCTTGATTTTTTGTTATCGGCTTGCGTCGTAATATCGCATCAATTTCGCGATTTTCGAACTGTTCCTTTGGTTAGATTTTTCGGTTCTAACATCGATAATTATTTTTTTTGAAATATTGTGCGGGATTTTTTCCGGATTAACAGGTTTTTTGGGTTCTTGGTTGGGTAAAAAGTACGCTGGTTTTAAATTTTCCATAGAAACGCTTTTTTTTACCATCTGCTTCAATCTCGAATACTCTATCGGTAACCCAATTTAGCACCTTAAAAGGACCGTTATATGGTCTCTGTAAGGATAATTTCACGCCACCAACACGCATAAGAACGTGTGTACAATTGGAAAGATGAGGATGTACAAAAACTTTTCTCTTATCGTTATGGGTGACTGGTACCGGTTTTAATTTGTCCATGTGTTCTTTATACTTCTTAACGAATGAATTATGAATTCTCTAGGAATTTGAAGGTTTGTACCATACAGATATTCAGATGGTGAAAAACCACATTTCATGACATTGATTCTGAGTCCAAGAAGAACTGTTGGACCCAATGACTGGGTTCACGATTGACTTGAGTGGCACATCAGTGCTGCTTTCAAAGATCGATGCCAACGCTCTATCATGCCGTTCGATGCGGGATGATTGGCGGTGGTTCGAATCCTTCGTCATCCCAGCAATTTCAGAAGACCTTGCATAATATGACTTTCAAATAGGACTCCCTGATCAGTTATGATTACGTCTAGAACTCCGAAACGGGAGATCCAATTGTCGTAAAAGGCTTTACAAACAACCTCCGCAGTCATATTACGCATGGCTAAAACGAGCTTGAGGAGCAACAAAATGGTTCGGATTAATACGAGTGTGTTTAGTAATTTTTGAATTTTTGGCAATCAATTCAAG